CACTGCCCATCCCTTGCCCAACTATGAAATCCCTCCCTGGGTGATCACTTCAGTGAACAAGCACATACAATGAACACACAGAAAAAACAAAAGCTTCCCGTGACCTCCATCCCCGTTTACTGCTATGAGTCCAGCTAAATCCATGACAGACCGGGGTGTCAACAAGCAGATATAACCAAGACCTGTTAGGTCAAAGGACGTAGGGGGGACACACACAGACTGGTCCCCTGGTCCCCTGGCGGGGCCCGTGTGGCTGACACAGCAGAGCACTGGGGGCCGGCCACACCCAGGAAACCGGGGGCTTCTACTTGGTAAAAAACAGCCAGCCAACAACAGCTGAGTCGCCTGGTTTTTCTCTTACTGGAAGCATGTACTTCTTCTATGCAAACACCCTTTAATAGATGTTCAAACTTAATATACGTTAGTTAAATATATAAGGGAGACAGTCGCCCTTGCTTTACGCGAGTAGAATCTCTTTTCTGCCATGGTGGACGGTGAGTCTCACACTCCACGAATGCAGGAATCATCTGGGGGCCGGTTACAACGGGTCTGGGGGCCGGGGAACCTGCGTTTCTCACGGGTTCCCAGGGCTGCTGCTGCTGCTGGTCCTCAGCCCCCATCTGGAGTAGCACGATTTCAGATGGATGTCTGAAGGTAGCGCAGCCAAATACAGCAAATGCAAATGAAGATGATTACAAAAGAGAGAGGATGATTCTCCAGGGATCCGGGACCTGCCAGCAGGCCCGGCTCCCAGACAGGGCCAGCCTGTTGCATGCAGAGACTGTGGACCCGCTCATGAGGAGCAGAGATGGAGGTGGCGATGGTTCTGTTTGTGAACGCTGAGGTCAGGCGCCAAAGCCGCCCCACGGTGTGGGGTTTGCCTGCCTGCCAGGTGCAGTCCGAGGCCCGCTGGCCCTGACGCCACCTTACGGCAGCGCCAGGAAGTGAGCGTGGGCCGGGGCTGCCTGGGGCGGACCCGGCCTGGAGGAGGTTTTTGCTAGGGCTCGGCCGGGCGTGGGCTCTTCTCCCGGCCTGCTGGCTGGGAGGTAAGCTGGCACATCCTGCGCGGCAGATGTAATGATTGCTGTTTTATGAATGAAGAACCTGGGGCCCAGAGAGGCTGAGAAACCTCACGAGGGACACACAGCCTGGATAGAAACATGGCTCTGCTCAGCTCCAGCAGCTGTGGTCTTGTCCAGTCAGCCATACCGCCACCCTCAGTAGCCAGGGAACGTGGTGGATGAGCTGGCAGCCCCGGGAGCCTGGATTGCGTTGGGGCCTCTGTCCCTGTCCTTGCCTGGCCTCCACCTGAGCCTCCCAGCTGCTGCCACCTTCTTCCACCTCTGCCACTTGGGAAAACTGAGCACAAGGGCAGAGGTGATAGCTCGGTTCCCCAGGGACCCACTCCCATAGGCACGCCTCCCCGAGGGCTGGTAGGACCCGGAGCATTGGCGCAATGCCCAGCCCAGTGGGACACTGGCTCTGACACTGATGCTGAGCTGCTGCTGAAACCACAGCCCTCCCTGGCCCTGGGGCTGCAGCCTCACTGCCCAGGTGTGGCCCATCCCAGGCCCGGCGCTGCCTGAGCCTGCCTTAAGAGAGTGGTATAGGTGTGATACTGGCGCGGTCCTAGGCTGTCTCCCGCCACCCCACGCAAACATCCAGCCCCCCACATGCCTGTCACCTGCCCTCTCCTTACCACCCTGGTCCAGGCCCCCACTGTTTCCCTTCCCCCCCAGCCTCCTGTCTGCAGGGCCCCTCTCCAAGTCATTTTCCATGGTGCGGCCAGAGAGCGTCCCCTAAAGGCCAGAGCTGACCGTGTCCCTCAGGCTCACAAGGCCTGGTTCCTGTGGACTGTGGCAGAAAGCCTGACCACTGAGCAGGGCTTAGAAGCCTGGCCGAATTGGACCGCACCTGCCTCTCCAGCCTCCTCCTTCACTGATGAGGCCCCAGGGAAGGAGGCCACAGTCTCCATTTCCGAGCCCAAGACCTTCAGGCCCAGGGTCCCACGACCAGAAAGCAGCAAAGCCGGGCCTTGCACTCTACCTTCACCAGCTCACTTCACCCCAGGGGCCACAGGAGTCCTTCCCCTCTGGAGCAGCCCCCAGCAAACGGGGCTGAGGCCAAGGGCTGCAGGAGGATTCGGCAGTGGAGGGAAGGAGCTGGCAGACACTGAGGCCTCAGAACTCTCAGATCCCCTCTGGAGCAAATCCAAAGGGAGAGACACTGCCAAGAACACCGGCGCCGAGAGTGGCAGCAGTGGCTGAGAAGCCCCCAGCCCCACCCTGGCCTCTGCGGGGTGGCCCGGGGACCACATGCTCTCAGCGTCGAAAAGCCTCTCGCCCAGGCTCACGTGTGCCAGCAGGGAAGGCAGAGCACCCTCAGGTTTGCAGAGGGGGATGCCGAGTGATGCGCCCGTGGTCTGGCCTGGAATCCACTCTCCTCGCCACACAAATTGCCGTTTTACTGACACATACATCAGGACTTGCTACTCTGGAGAGGGAAGCGGGGCCAGGAGCTGAGTGGAGGACAGGACAAGGGCCTGGCTGCTACTCAGCCTCCCGTCCTGCCCCGAGACTTCAGAGTCAGAGATAATTGACTGAGATGTAATAAATCTCTCTCCTCCCGGGTGCTGTAATTATTCCTCGCTGGAGCTCACGGCCATGAGGCTGCAGAGGCAGGCCCACGTGGCAGGAGCCAGAGGTCTCACTGCAGGAGTGGGTCCCCATACTGTGAAGCCTCACCCAGAACCAGCACCAGAAGAGTCAGGAATAGAGAGTCGGACCTAAATATACAAAACTAGGGTGATCATGTTTGAGTAGGGAGTAGGGTTGGCAGGGATTGGGGGCTTGGACTCAGGTCAGTCCAAAGATTTCAAAACTACTCTGCGCTCCCTCAATACTGTGGCAGAAAGGAAGGGACTCCCTCCTCCCAGCCTCCTTACTCCATCCAGGGCTTCGATGAACAGAGCTGCAATGGCTCTGGGGGAACATTAAATGATCCCCCCATAATTTTGTACATGGGAAACTGAGGTTTAGAGAGGAAAGTGACTTGCCCAAGGTCACCCAGAAAGGTGGACAGAACTTGGCAGATGGGTCCCGGCTTCTCCATCTGTGCCCACCTTTCCTCAGGCGCCCTTGTTTGTGTTTGCTGAAGGTACTGGCACCGCAGACGTGTGCTGGGGACTCCAGCCTCAAAGCTGGGAGGGGCTCTGTGGGGCTCCTTCCCCTACCTGCTGGAGAGGCGACGTCAGAGACACTGCACACCATAAGTGCTTAATAAATGCTTGCCTGTGTTACCATTTGTTTCCCTTCTCTGGGTTAGCAACCTCAGAGCAATTGAGAGGAGGGGCAGGGCTCACTCTGCTCCCCGTGGGAGGGTGTTTGGGGCCTCTGTGCGCCGGCGTTCTGAGTGGTGCTGGCACATCCTGAGAATCCAGCAATGCAATCCACTCAACGCACTCCCTCCACATGCACTGGGGCACTGAGGCTGGGAGAGCCTGCAGAGCCTTCCCAGACCCTCACATCCTTCAGGAGCCATTTCCAAGCTTTCTGAGTGAGTCCGGACCAGCCAGCCCCATTGGAAACTCAGCTGATAGGGAAACCAAAACCCAGCCGGATCCAGGGTACAAAGTCTGCCCTGCGGGTCTTTTTCATAGCATCGTGCAGATACTCAACCAACTGCCAGCAAGCGCAAGACCGAATGAACACAACCCCACATTTCCTGGGCTCCCGAGCCTTAGGGTGAGATTTTTTCACAAGCCGCCAGCACCTAAGCTGTTTAGGAAGCTTGCAGCCAGTGCACCAAGAGTTAAACGCAGCCCTTGCCCAGCCCAGAAAGTGCTGGTTCTCACCTGCTCACGTGGGTAGAGCCCTGGTCACCTCTACTCCACTATCAATTCCAGAAGGAGGGAGAAGATGGGAAGATGGGCAAAGGTGCTTTCCCAGAAACCCTGAACTTTTTGGGGGTAGGCAGTTACTGCTCTCCCCAGCAGCCCCGAAGAGCCGGGGCTGGCAGGGCTGAGGGAAATGGAGGGAGAAGCCTGGCAGTGTGGCCCGCTGGCTCGCCTGAGCTCCTACTTCCTGGGGAAGGCACCCGGATGAATGCTGGGGCTCAGGCCTCAAGGATACTCCCCTCATCCTGCAGAAGGGTCTATGAATTTGGGCCTCAAGTTTCTTGTCTCAGAGCCACCAGGGCTGCTGCAGGACACACACTGGCAGGACCACTTGTGCCCAGGCAGCCTCTGGCCGTGGAAGGACAGGACATGAGTGTGGTGAGACAGTGGAGCCCTGAGGGACCATGTCGAATATCTCTTGGGTTTTGCTGTTTAGAGTCTGAGCCTTCCTGGCTGGGGAAACCCAGGGCAATCAGGTGCCCCCCAACGTGTCACTGAAGCAGAGATTTCCAGCAGACACAGGTGTGAGGTGGTGCTGACAGAGGCCGGTGCTTGAGGCCAGCTCCACCACTTCCCCACTGTGTGACCTTGGGCAAGAGACCAAACTTCTCTGAGACTCCGTTTCTGCATCTGTGAAATGGGGCCAATGCTCCTTTCTCACGGGTGTTGGATCAATGGGTTGGGATGATAATGTGGCACCAGCCCTGGCAGAAGGCAAAGCTCAGCAAAAGAAAAAGTCTTAGCTCCTGGCAGAGAGAGAGTGGGGCCAGGTTTCCAGTGGGTTCTTACAGGAAACTTTCCCTCCCCTCTGCTCCCCCCGCCCCCAGGCCACTGTTCGGAGGGAAAGAAGCGCCGCTTCCTAAAGTGGGTCCCCCACCTCTCCCTTAGGCCCTTGTGCCCACCTGGGTCTCAGCTTCCTCCACAGGGGTGCGCTTTCAGGGTGGATGCCCTGGGATGGGTGACGCTAGTTGGGTCAGGGGACCCGGTGCGAGGCAGCCGGGGTAGGCTGCCGTGGGCACTCCGGACGAGTGGACACCCAGCTGGAGCTTCCCAGCCTGCGTCTTCTGTCCCACATCCCGTGACCCGCGGCCCGCTCGGCCCTTACCTTGAACCATGGGAACGGCGCTGCCCCGGCCGCGAGGACTTGGGCGCACGTGACGGGGCGGGCGGGCGTCGGTCCCGGGCAGGGCGCAGCTAGCGGCGGCCGCTCAAGCCCAGGCCACGGCGGTGACGCCTGGTGGGGCTTGTGGGGGCAAGGCGGTCGCCGAGAGGCCCGGGAGGCCCCCTGGGAGGCGACTGAGTGCCCGGGCGGGCGTCCCTGCCAGCTCCGCGCTGCGGCCGCGGCTCCGGACGCCCTGGCTGGCTCCCTGCGAGCGGCACGCGCGGTTCCAGCCCAGTCCCGAGCGCAGGGCGCGCGCTGATGGGGAGGGCGCGCGGCCGATCCTGGCGGGGAGCGCGCGTCGCCGGCTCGCGCGCGCAGTCGTCGGGGATGCCGGGAGCGGCCCGGGGAGCTGTCCCTGGTGCTGACAGCTCGTCCTCTGTCGCTGGGGCCAAGCGACCTCCGGCGAGGCCTGGGGGGAGGGTTGCCCCCACCTCGGCCCGCGCCCAGCGGTGCCCCCTCTGCTCTCCGCCTGTTCTTGGGGCGTTCCGGCTTCCACAGCGTTGGGATCTGGAGTCAGGCCGAAGCTGCTGCTTATCCACAGTGGAGCAAGTCCCTTACCCTGGTTGAGCGGCTGGTTCTTACCTTTAAAACGGGGAGTTAACACCAGCACCTTGAGGGTTGGTCTGAGAATGAATCCTATGCTGTGTGGAGGCCCTGCACACCATAAGTGCTTCATAAATGCTCGCCTGTGTTACCATTTGTTTCCCTTCTCTGGGTTAGCAACCTCGGAGCAATTGAGAGGAGGGGCAGGGCTCACTCTGCTCCCCGTGGGAGGGTGTTTGGGGCCTGGCGGCTGCCTTTGGATCTCTCCCACATCCACGGGGTAGGGGAGCAGATTCCTTTTCCCTGTCCCCAAAGCGCGGAGCTAGGACCAACTTAAAGCAAGGCAGATATGGGCTGGGTACGAGGGGGACCTTTCTGACCCAAGGTTCCTGGGCCTGAGAGGAGTGCCCCGGGAGGCATTCCCCTGTTTTCCCTGTTTCTGTAGGTACTCCAGTCGAGGCTGCAGTCGCAGGGACCCTGAATGGAGAGAAATCTGTTAAGAAGGGGTTTGTATTAGAACATGTACAGCACTCAGAGCTGTGCCTGGTAGAAATGCACCATAGAAATGTGTGCTTTTTTTTTTTTTTTTTTTTTTTTTTTTTTAGACATATCACTTTGTCGCCCAGGCTGTAGTGTAGTGGCAGGAGCAGATTTCAGCTCACGAAACCTCCATTTCCTGGGTTTAAGTGATTCTCCTGTCTCAGCCTCCTGAGTGGCTGGGATTACAGGCATATGCCACAACACCCGGCTAATTCTTTTTGTATTTTTAGCAAAGACAGGGTTTCACCATGTTGGCCAAACTGGTCTTGAACTCTTGACATCAAGTGATCTGCCTGCCTCAGCCTCCCAAAGTGCTAGGATTACAGGAGTCAGCCACCACACCTGGCCTTAAATATATGCTTTCATTATGATCGACCACTAAGTTCTCTGTAAAAAGCTCCATCCTGGTAGTAACCGTAACCTTGCTTCACCCCCAGTCTAGACACGAGAATACTGATGACAGACAGAAGAGTAAAGTGCTGGGAGTCCATTTCCCTTTTACAGATGGGCTGAGCAAAGATGGGTGAGCAACTCGCCCATAGGCAAGAGCGTGTGTGCTCACACCAAACAGACACGCTCCAAATGTCCAGCCCGCTGCCTCCCCTGCTGGGGCCCCTGGCAAGGGCCCCTGCTGAGTTTCTCAGGGCTGGTCAGGTCACTTTAACCATAGCGACTTTTCTTATAACAAACCAGGCAAGTTTCCCATTTCTCTTAACTAATAGGAAAAGCTGGTTCCTGCCTCCATGAGTATCTCGTTCTCTTCTAAGCAGGATAATTAAACATCACCTGCTTCATTTCCCAAGGGACCAGGGGCTGTGTTTGATTCATTAATTAACTTCAAGCAGTACCTGCTCCCACCAGGCACTTGTCTCATGATAAACATCCCTCATTATGTGCTTAACTCGTGCCAGACACAAGGCTAAACGCCCTGCGAGCATTGTCTCATTTAGTCTTCTCAGCCGTCCGATGAGATACAGATAATGTCATTACCCTGACTTTACAGGTGAACACTTCAGGCTCAACAGCAGCAGATCTGAGGTGGATCTGCCTGATTCCCAAGGCATTGCTCCTAATCCCCTTCTTCTAGAACTTCCACATTCTTCCCAACCAGCTCCACCTAGAAAAAAGGATGGTAAACACGGGTAGAAATTCCATATAAGGAGAGAGAGAGAAAGGCAGAAAGAGAGAGAAAGAGAGCCAGGAGGAAGAGGCGAAGCAGCCAGCCAATCGATGTTCTAGGAGTTGACACAGGAATCCTTGAAATCATCATGTTTAGTCAAAATCCCCATTATGACAACTGAGGAACTTGTTTTTTATTTGAGAGTTGCAAGTGTGTGCCAAGAATTTTAACAGCAATATCACTGCCAAACCCTGTCTTTACCGACTACCTCAATGCCCTTCCACGTCTTTCTGTGCTGACTTTTCACTCAAACTCTGCAGAATCCTGCAGCTGTGGATCTGAGCAGCTGGAAACCTCTGTGGAACCAGCTCAGACTCTGCAGCTCTTGGCCTCTTGATGTGCTGGTTTCTTTCCTGTGTGGTGTGGAGAGATGTGTTCCTGACGCCTGTGATGACGAAACCATATTTAAAACTGAGCCCATTTTATTTAAAAGAGTACTGAATACCAGCCACAACATGTACAATAGATGCCTGGATTGCCCTCACTTTATGGACAGTAACAAAGGGGTGAGGTGACTCACCCAAAGTCACACAGCCAGCAGAGGCGACCACACCGAACAGATGTCATTTGGATTGCGAGGCTGGATGGTCACCACCAAACTCATTATTTATGTGCAAGAACGTGCCCGGATTTTAAGCAAAAACCAATTTCAGAAAATAAAAATGGGTGAGGGGGAGATGAAGATAAGGAAGAGTCTCTGGCCTGACTTTATAAAAACAATTCATCATCAGGATTCCCTAAACAGCAAGTTCTCCTGGTGCGTGCAGAAAAAGGATCCTAGTCACACGCAGTTCTTTTAGGCTGGCCAAAAACAGGCCTGGGGGTGGGAGGAGCGGCGTTCCGCCACCGGACTAGTGCTTCTTCCACTACAATATGCTGTTTAGTCGTGTGGCAACCTCAGCCAACAGCAGCTACTCTGTCCCCACCAGCAGCCTCGGTCCCATAACACAGAGCTTCGTGGATGTAACTCAAATCCAACAGATGGCCACGCTGGTTGAACAACTCCCAGCGCATTGGTTCATGGGTGGCAGTTCACAAAGGTTCGTTTTCTACTTGGGGCAAACGGGGCTTGTGTAAGATCAGCCTGACGCTATACAAGCAGGACCTCTGTGCCCATCGTTTCTTGGAGTTGACTGCGGGTAGCCTCATTGCTCAAAGACTTACAGCCTCCTAGAGAAGAGGCATCAGCATTTCTTTCTCTCTGGGGCTCTGTATGTGCACAGGAGGTGCTCACTGGCTGGAGGCAGAGGAAAACACAAAACCAGCAGTGGTGGGGGACCCCTGACGTTCCAATCACACTGCTCCCATGCACAGTCCCCTGCACACTCGTATGGAGGGAACGAGGTTCTTGGGAACAGGATGTGAGCAGCTACTGTTGATGGCTGAGTCTCATTTTGCAGAGGCAGAAAGAAGAAAGCGCTCGAGGAATAAAGTTTCTGCCAGGCTGTGGAGAGTGATGAGAATGATGGCCAGGAGCTCCTCTCGTTCCCTTTCTGGGAACCCTAGGGAAGGGGTGAGCACACCATATCCAGTCACGTCTGGGCAGAGGCTGGCTGTCCACTTGCAGCACAGCTGGCACCCGGGACCCCTCGGCGTTGGAAGTCTGAGATTCCAGACGGGCAGCTGCTCGCTGGTCTGTGTGGGTGCCCCCCCACCCCCAGCACTGACCTCCATTCAGCTGCTCGGTGGATCTCAGCACACTGAAAGAAGGTCCTCTTCCTCACAATGGTGCCAGGCCAAACCATTGAGGTGGTTGCACCAGAATGACCTTTGTTTGGTGGTTGAATTCTTTCCTCTCCCTAGCCTGCAGCCATGAGAGATTCTGCAGTTGATTGACAGGGCCCAGCGACAGCCCCTTTGATCCGTTTGTGTCACAGAACCACTCAACTCCAGATGATCTGTGCAGGTCAAAGTCAAGCCCATTTAGAGAAGAGATGCATTTTTTTTTTTTTTTTTTTTTTTTTAAAGAAACGATTGAGGGCCAGGCAGCTGAAAATCGCTGTGATTACTCTGTGATGTTGAATAGGCAGAGCGCGCCTCGCATCCTGGGGCTGTTAGATTGGATGTCCTCAGACAGTCCCGGGAGAATCACGGGGTACCAAAGTGTGCAAGAGAGAGTGAGAGGGCTAGGCAAGCCTCGTGCAGGCGGACAGAGTGGGAGGGCGTGCGCGGCTCAGGTGTGTGGCGTGGGGGGTGTTTCCATTGCCCTGGTTTGAAAAGACAGCCTCATCTGTTTGAAAAGAAATTACTGGTAGTTGTTAATTACTGCAACATTTTTAAACGTTGTGACAGCAAGCTTGATGTGTTCATTCTTTAGGAATCGTCGTGGATGATGGATGAGGAGGAGATGGTGCTGAGAGGCGCTCAGGGACCCGTCAAGGGGTCTCTCCCAGCTTCGTCTGTGAGTCACGGATCATCCTGACAAATCCTGCCGCAGAGCGGAGGAGAAGTGAGATGGGAGAGATGGAGGATTTATTGTTTCAGAGCCTCCCTCCATTGCAGGGATGTTTTTACTCTAGAGAAGCATTAACAGAGAGTACTCCTAATCTGGGTTTTACTTTCTCAGCCAAAGCACTTCTTCACAGCTCGAGCAAATGCAGGCCATGCCTACATTCGCTCATTCATTCCCTCACATACTGTGGGTGCAGAGACAGAGGCAAGAGTAGTCGTCATCACGAGCTCAGAGGGAGGTGAGGGTTTCAAAGGTTGACGGGATGGCCTCCTGAGGTGGGCGGAGTGGGACGGGGACCCCCGGGCTGATAGCTAGCATTTGTCCTGTGCTTATTCCCTTTGAACTGTCCTGGGGGCCCTGGAGACAGGAATGATTCATTCATTTTACCAGATTTAGAGTAAAGAAACCGAGACTTAGAGAAAGTGAATGGCCTGCCCCAGGCTGCCCGAGGCCAGGACCCATCTGAATCCAAAGTCCACCCCTGTCCTATGCCTGGGTTGTGACCCTCAGTCTGTTTCACTAGAAAATAAGAAATAAAAGTCTGAGATTG